GGGGCAGAATTCTAATGCAGCACTACTGTGTGCTAACAATATATGGTGTTGTTTCAATCATTTGTGGCAAGTGTTAGGTACAAGTATGCTGCTTTCCTTTTCAAGATTACAACATATTATCTTTACATGTCCACTCTAGGTGCAGGTACCTCCATGCATCCATTGCCTCTCCCCCAGAAGAAAACTGAAGATTACCAGTAATCTCCACAAGAGCATAACCCATCAGCGAAATGATGAAACCTCCTTGTATCGCGAATTATGATCTTATGCTTTTCAACAAACGATACAAACTTTGCCATGTTGTGGCAATCTCCGCAGATCCTCAGGTTCTTTGCGATTGTCAGAGGCTTGCTGTCATTACAGACCAAAAGACCGAATGCAATTGCCAGTTTTTCACTGTGTTTGCTCACCAAACTTTCTTTAACTTCTTCCTCTACATCATGTAGAACGAACTCCGAATTAGGTACATATCTAGCCTTTTGAATTTTCTTGATAACTTCATCTACCTTAGCATATATACTTTCACTCTCAAGGTGTGCTTGATCATTCAAAAGAAAACGATGAATCATGTGTCCATGTTCAATGTAGTTGCAGTCGGCAGTTCTTATAAGACCTTTCTCCTTCATTAAAGCTCGAACTTTTGAAAAATCTTTCCAACGACCAGCCTTAGCGTATATGCTTGATAGCATAATATAATTTCTAGGGTCCAAGGGGTTTAAAGCAATCAGTCTTTCTACAACTTCCTCACCAAGCTCTACATCGACGTGCGTTGACCAAGGAAGAAAGATCCAATCATGCCCACGCACAACTCAGAAATGTTATCGAACGTGCTTTTAGTGTATTGAAAGAAAGATTTCCGATTTTGAAACACGTGGCCCCTTATCCTTTTCGAATACGAAGAAACATTGCAGTTGCTTGTTTTGCAATCTATAACTTTATAAGAAGATGCAATATGCAAAATCAATTATTCATGGACTACGACAGTAACCTCATGTTCATCAATGAAGCAGAAGAACAAATTGACGGAGGCGAGGAAGAAGAGATAGATGCAACGCCTTGGGATCCCCAAGACAATGAGTACATGGCTAATTTGCGTAATGAGATTGCAAATCAATTAGTGTTAAATGTTTCAAGTTAGATGTTGTACACAACATATTGGGTTTGAACTTGCGTTTCATGTGATGTTTTGTTATGCCAAAACTTGAACAAACAATTGTTTTGCTTGTTTAGATTGACATGATATCATGCATTGGCTTGGACCATTAATTATTTTTTATTTTTCATCTAGAAATTTCCATCAGAATGTTTGTTGACGTTAATTTTCATTAAACACAAGACTGGGGTAAAATGATAATTTTATGTCATTCAAACTGTTGATCCAGAACAGTTCCTAAACAACCATTTTCATATAAACTAAATCATTATGATCACTTAATCATTCTGCACTCAATCATTCAGTATTTGCCAAACAGCCCCTAAGGTTACCCATTGCTATTTTTTGCTTATGGCTCTTGTAACATCTACCCTCTTAAATATGCTTAACTAGTGATTCTAAATATGTATTATATGTTAAAACATGCTTTATGTACTAATTATGTAAAAAGAGAATTTGCTAAAATGCCCTAGTGTACTAGTGAGCTATAAGTAGAACCCATAGTTAGAATGGGATGTAGGAGATAAGTTTGGTTCTAACACCTCACAAATGGCATAATTAGACGATGTGAGGGTTCAAAATACAAAGTGCATTGCCTAAATGGAAATCAGGTAGGTAACTAGAGTGCGTAAATGGGAAAAATCTGCCCAAAACTTCAACGGATGATCTAAATGGTGATCTAAAGGTTGGAACACCTATGAATAAGTTAATATGAAGTGTTAAAAGTGGCGGAAGTCAAAAAAGTCGCGTAGATTGCATTTTATGCAAGTTTTACAAATTACGTTGCTTTTTCGGTAAAGTACGTGCACAACACTCAAACGGGAGGTGTTTGATGGGATTTTAGACTTTGGAACTAAGTTTTGGACCTATTAGGAGTTGCTGGAGGTGTCGTAATTTTTTTACGGGATTCCGGGCTCAAAATAAAAAACGACAAAATTGTAAAGGAAAGCATAACATCTACAAATATGTAAAACTGCTTTTATTGGGAGGTTTTTTTTGGATTCTTTTTTTGGAATTTATAATTTATCTAGTTACGAACGCGTAGGCGAAAACCTCATCGAAATCGAAGGTCCGTGCGAAAAGTTATGAGTTTCTTTGTATTAGGTGGTCAATGTTTTATCCTGTTTTAGAAAAAATTGTATAAAATCATAGAAAAATCGTACAAGGGGTGAGTCCAGTGGCCTTTCAAAGGTATGGCTTCTTAGTGTATTTTATATAGATATGACATAATCTAATTACAACTTTAAGATGGGTAAAAAATGCACTTTGCACGGTGCTGTCAAAATGAATTCTGACAGCCTATACCTGCTGTGTTGCAAAATTTGTATAAAATCAAAGAAAAATCCTGTAGATACGACATCAGTTCCATTGTAAATATAACTGAGTCTAGTTTAATTCACATTTAGAAGTCATTGAGTGATTTTGAGGTTATGTGTGGTAAAACAGGGCTAGAACACAGTGCTGTAATAGGAAAATTGAAGTATGAAAGTTAACTAGTCATGGGGCTAAATTGAGTTATATGCATCCAATGCTCATGAAACTTAATGTACATATCCAGTGGATATTTGAAGCTTGTTTGGTGCTTCTGGAAGGTATCTTAGTGTGCAAACATGAGATTGGTAACGGTAAAAGCTCGGCGAGTTAACTGTTTATTCAAGTTATATAGTATTATGTGTATATATGTATATCTCGTATGTTTACATGATTTGGATGTCCTCTAAGCTGGTTGGTTTTGTCTTTGGTCAATCATGTGCGTTGGTCTTCAGATTGAGATTCCTCTATACTGTCGATCGGTTTCGGATCCGAATTCCGTTGGTTTTGTTTCTTTGGTTTCTTTATTATTCCGGGAGTACGGGTACTACTTTGTGTGGTACGCCGGTAGAAACGGTGGATGTCAACAGCCCGGTTGAAGAGGGGGAGCCGGTGAGACATTCGTGTGGTGTACTAATTGTCCAATGGTTCGGAGGGGCATGAATACGGGACTCGGGCATACCCGGGAGATGAAGGCGGGTCCCTGCTAGTCTTTGGTATTCTATTTGGTTATGCATAGGAGCTTGGGCATACCCAGATGATGATTGTGGATCCCTGCTAGTCCTATGCATTATGTTTGATGTATTGTGAATATATGATACGTTGATACATTTGTTATGATTAATTTCTATGAAACTCTTGCGAGGGGTGATTATGTATGCTATGACTAATGTTTTGGAACGTGTTTAAGGTATGACATCGTTGATAAGATTAGATTCTCATAAATTGATCATTGGAATCGTTATTGTTGATTTATTATGGTATGTTTTTTGGTATGTGTACGGACAAACGGATTTTCTTATTGAGTATGTCTTTGGTTCGTTTCCTTACCGTGTATGTATATGTATATATATATATATGTGTGTGTGTGTGTGTGTGCGTATGTAATGCTAATATTCTTTGTTTAGTTCATTTAATTCACTAAGCCGTGTGCTTAATCTGAATTCTCCAATATATTTCTTTTTCAGGAAAAGAATTAGACGAGGGAAAGGATCCGATGAAATAGTTGATTCGGTTGAAAAACTTGATCTAGTTTCTGGTACATGATTTGTGATGTTCTTTTTTTGTAATATTTTGGCATATATATATATATATATATATATATTTTAATCATTCCGGGTAGTTATATTATGTCTCGGATGGTTTAGGTTCATTCGGTTTGTAAGTAATTAATAATTTTGGTTGTGTTTGACTTTATTGGGTCAAACCGTTTGAACATTTTTGGCGGTTTTAAAACTAAAGTTTGTATCCCGTATGTTTTGGAGGTTTAAAATCAATGTTTTGGTGATTATGGGTTATTTGGACGTTTTATAACCACGGTGTTACAGCTCTAGCTTAACTAGGGGTTGTTCGGTTGTTTTTCATTTAAGAGTTTGTTTGTTAGCAACTTAATAAGCTTAATATGACTCATAGCTTATTCAATTAGTTATACATGATTGCTTAGTGATGGCTTAATGAAAAGCGGCTTATTCAGTAACCTTTTAGGAAAAGCGGCTTATTCAGTAACATTTTAGGAAAAGCTTTATGTAGAGAGTCAAGTTTTTAATTTTTTTTCTAAACCTGCCATTCCCAATTAAAAACACGCTCATTCCAAACAAAAACATTCTCAACATATACAGACAGATTAATCCATATAGACGATTTTATCCATTAAGGAAAGTTATTATTTGCTACAGTACCAGACTTTGGTTTGAGATGAAAATTTTCAAGATGAGAAAGGAGGATCATCAAGACCAGATGGCAGATGCATCAATGATTCAGTGGAGCTTCTTCTTCACATGAAAACAAACCCACAAACCAATCTCTCTTCTTATAGACTCTGGATGGGTTGCATCATCTTAACACCCAAAACCAGTAAAAATTAGCAAGAAAAAAAGAACCCCCATCTCTGATTTGTAGAGCATGTTTGTAACTTCTTACAATAAACAGATGGCTTCATTCCAGAGTGGGAAAACTGATTTAAGGCAGATCGAGCTTCGTTCCAGAGATGGAACTAATATGGGATTTGGATTGAAATGACAACCATCTCCAAGGGATTTGCAAATCACCAATCAAACAGGTTCCTGAAAAAAACTCTAATAGGGATCAAACTGCATGCTATTAAAAAACACAACCTTTTATGGGGTTCAAGAAACATTGAACTTTGTTTTTGTTATTTTATATTGATATAAAGGAATTGAAGCAATCAAGATTAGTGATATTTGTTTGGTAATGAAATCACGTGGGTCATGGAGACTACTCATCGAATTGCATTAACTTTTTATCATTTTTTTATTTGAATAAGATCAAAAGAAAAAGCATGTCCTGAGTCAACTCACCAACCATCCTTTCAATTATAATCTCTCATCTTTTCTTAGTCTTATTCTTCAGAATTGTTGACAGAGAAGATCACAAGCAGCAGCAGAACCATCCTGAAATGTTTCAGGTAAATGAAAGCTTTCTTCTTCCATTGCCATCTCCAGAAACTGTCAAATATGTAATCCCTCTTCTTATGTTAATACATTTCTTCATATTGCATAAACTTCCCTTTTGTTTGCTTCTCTGTAGGTGCTTGCACAAGTAAGAATATCGAGCAATGGAGATTGTTACTGCCATTGTTAGTCCTCTGGTTGAGTCTCTCATGGTTCCCGTTAAGAAACACCTCGGTTACTTGATTTCCTACAAAAAGTATGTGAGGGATATGGGTACAAGAATGAGAGACTTGAAAGCTACAAGGCTTGGTGTTGAAGACCACATAAACCATAACAAAAGCAATTGCCTTATGGTTCCAATGGAGGTCAGTGGTTGGTTGGAAGAAGTAGGAAATATCGAAGCACAGGTATTGGAAACCATTCCTAGTATCTTGATTTTGTGAGTTGAAGTGTAGATTGTTACTTTCTCCAGTCTACTATCTTCATACTAAAGAATGATTTGATGAGATAGGTACTAATATGAAAATTTGATCATTCAGTCTATTTTTATGAACCATGCTGCTGCTATGCACTATCTCATCAATACTCCCAAGAGGTCGTTACGTTGATCTTTATTAACATCTTAAGCAAGTCTTTTTCATTCTTCCTTTTTCCAAGTTTCGMTACTTACAGCTACATATATACTTAGTTGGCATCGAAATGCTTTAGACACTCAACATGACACATTTCTATCTTATATTATCTTCTGTTCCTCTAGTTAGTAAATACAAGTCATGTATAGGGACCTGTTATATACCGAGCACCTGATGGAATCATGTCTTATCTAGTTTTGCCTATGGTTCAGTTCTGTTATGTTCTGTTCTAGTTTTGCCTATGGTTCAGTTATATATATGTATATGTATTTGTAATACCCAAAATCATATTTGCATATAACCATGTATTTCATATATCAAGAAATACAATTTTACACATTTGCTCCCAATATCTACAAAAGCTACACTACAAAAGTAGCTACCAAATTTTTCCACAAAATCTCAGTACAAAACTTGTATACATAACAAGTATTCAAGTACCTAAGATATCACATCATCCTAAAAAGCAATCATATAATCTTCATAATTTCCCTTTCCCCTTATCATCATACTGTAATGCACATTTTGAAATACAAATGAGGGTTAGACCTTGAGGTCTAGTGAGAAATCCTTTTGTTTGCTATTACAGGATGAAAAATCACCAAAACACTTTTACAAACCCATATTTGTATAAATAACAAATGAAACAACGTTTTGTCAAAACTATCCTCTTTTGTCACATCAAAATAATAAGACAACACCCCTTTATCATATCAAATAATCAAATAACTCACTTATCGCATTATACAAAAACTCATGGCATCATATGGATAAAATCATTGTTCATGTTATTTTTTCTAGATAAATTGTTGTACCAGACTTGTGGGGCTCATTGGCAGAATTCCTTGATTTTAGGACCCATTTAGTTTTCCCTAGTCATAGATTTCATTCAACTTGTAATTTATGATGCTTTCTCATTTTAAGTGTACCCATTTAGTTTCAGATAAAAAGTTGGTTCTTCCCGTTGCTTTCTAACCAAAGTGGTTGTGGTAATTCATTGTAGTACTCTCTACATATTCCTTGTTATGGTCTATATTTATTACCCGTGATGGCTAAATATATGTGGCGCTTGACAGTTCAGCACTTAATTTCTTCATGACACCTGACTCTGGACCTTTCTGTCTTCTGGAATCATGTGCAGGCATTGCCAAGGACAATAGAATTCGAGGAAGAATTGGCAGAAAAATTCGGTGGTAGTAGTAGCAGTAGCAGTAGCAGAAATGTAACAACTGACTTTGAGGAAACAGATAAAGCAGAAAGTAATAATCAAACTGTACTAGACATTCGTAAGAAGTATGAGAAAAAGCTTGCTGCACATCAGGGAAACCAGGACGATGTGAGTGACGATGATTACTTCATTAAGTTATTCAGCCTTGACGAAGAACCAAACTCTGCTAAATTTATTCAAGGTGCGATTTGAATAAACTACTTGCATGCCGTCCATTGTCAATGGGCACTTCTGTATGCTACAGTTGAAGTATATGCTCTTATAAGTAGTTTCTTCTGGGAATACCGTAGAACAAGTCTGTCCTTTCCTATTGATCGGCCTGATAAGTTTTTCTGTTTGCAACTGAGTATTTGCTATATCCTATGTTCATGTGTATACTACCGGTGAAGGTCAGATGTTCATTTAGGTGTTTTCTCTCCTTTCATCTTTATGAATAGAATGATTTCCATCGATGTCACTCCTATAGGAAACCATTTCCAGCGAAAACGGAGGTCCGAGCGAAAAGTTACGAATTTTTTTTGTATTAGGTGGTCAATGTTTTATCCTGTTTTAGAAAAAAATTGTATAAAATCATAGAAATATCGTATAAGGGTGAGTCCAGTGGCATTTGAAAGGTATGGCTTCTTAGTCTATTTTATATACAGATGTCATAATCTAATTACAGCTTTAAGATGGGTAAAAAAATGCACTTTGCACAGTGCTGTCAAACTGAATTCTGACAGCCTATACCTGCTGTGTTGCAAAATTTGTATAAAATCAAAGAAAAATCCTGTAGATACGATATCAGTTATATTGTAAAGATAATTGAGTCTAGTTTAATTCATATTAAGAAGTCATTGAGTGATTTTGAGGTTAAGTGGGGTAAAACAGGGCTAGAACACATTACTGTAATAGGAAAATTGAAGTATGAAAGTTAACTAGTCATGGGGCTAAATTGAGTTATATGCATCCCATGCTCATGAAACTTAATGTACATACTCGAGGGGATATTTGGAGCTTGTTAGGTGCTTCTGGAAGGTATCTTAGTGTGCAAACACGAGGTTGGGACATAAGCTCCATTATAGCTTTCGTTTGGTAACAGTAAAAGCTCGGTGAATTAAATGTTTATTTAAGTTATATTGTATTATATCTATATCTCATATGTTTACATGATTTGGATGTCCTCTAAGCTGGTTGGTTTTGTCTTTGGTCAATCATGTGCATTGGTCTCCAAATTGAGAATCCTCTACACTGTCGGTCGGTCGGTCGGTTTCGGATCCGAATTCCGTTGGTTTTGTTTCTTTGTTATTCCGGGAGTACGGGTACTACTTTGTGTGGTATGCTGGAAGAAACGGTGGATGTCAACAGCCCAGTTGAAGGGGGGAGCCGGTGAGACATTCGTTTGTTGTACTTATCGTCCAATGGTTCGGAGGGGCTTGAATACGGGACTCGGGCATACCTGGGAGATGAAGGCGGGTCCCTGCTAGTCTTTGGTATTCCATTAGGTTATGCATAGGAGCTTGAGCATAGTCGGATGATGATTGTGGGTCCCTGCTAGTCCTATGCATTATGTTTGATGTATTGTGAATATATGATACGTTGATACATTTGTTATGATTGATTTATATGTAACTCTTGCGAGGGGTGATTATGTATGCTATGACTAATGTTTTGGAACGTGTTTGCATATGACATCGTTGATAAAATTAGATTCTCATAAATTGATCATTGGAATCGTTATTGTTGTATGTTTTGGTATGTGTACGGACGAACGGATTTTCTTATTGAGTATGTCTTTGATTCGTTTTCTTACCCCGTGTGTATATATATATATATATATATATATATATGTAATGCTAATATTCTTTGTTTAGTTCATTTAATTCACTACACTACCAAAAAACCCATTATTTCCGGCGGCCAAATCCGTCCGGAAAAAGGAATTTCCGGCGGATTTGGCCACCGGAAAAAAGGCGCCGGTGATTGTTTTTCCGGCGGCTTTTCCGGCGGCTTTTCCCCGTTTCCGGCGGATTTTGGCCGTCGGAAAATCGTCACCCGTTTTTAAAAAAAATCTTGATTAACTTAACAAGGAATTAATTTTTTTTTAAAAAAAAATTCCGGCGGAAATTCCGCCGGAAACATTTCTCGCCGGAAAATTAATATTTTAAAAAAGATTTACTTTTTTTTTTAAAATAATACTTTAAAAAAGATTTATTTTTAAAAAAAAAATACC